GGTTAATTGGAGGTAAGGGGATGCAGGGTACCAGAATCCAAAACAGTGACTACCCTGGATAAACTAAAGGGAAAAAAGAAAAAATAAATAAAAAGAAAGAACTTGATACAGTATATTGACGACAACAAGGTTAACCACAAATGGGGAAGGGAAGGGGCATAACAAAATGGTGAAACAAGGACAAAGAGTGAACCAATGCAACAGTGACACCCACAAGACACTATTGGAAATGAACTTTACAAATTTGGGTGGGGGGGAGTAGTGAGGGGTGGAAGGATAGTGCGAGGAAAATGAATGAGTGGGTACCGATGTTCAACAAGAAATATACTCATTACCTTACTTATGTAACTGTAACTCCTCTGTACAGCACCTTTACAACAAAATTAAATTAAAAAGAGGCTCACAGGGACTTTTCTGCCCTGGCTGGCTTCAAACCTTGATTCTCAGATCTCACCCTACTGAGTAGCTAGGATTACAGGTGTGAACAATGGCCACCCAGTTTCCCTGAGCTTCTTTGTGCTCAAGGCTAGCACTCTACCACTTTAGACACATCTGTACTTCCAGGTTTTTTGATAGTTAATTGGCAATAATTAGGCACAGCCTGGTTATATATATATTTATTTTCTTTCTTTTTTTTTGGTCCATTGTGGGTTGAACTCTGGACCTGGGCACTATCCCTCAGCTCTTCAGCTCAAGGCTAACGCTCTACCACTTGAGCCACCACACCACTTCTGGTTTTCTGGTGGTTAATTGGAGATAAGGGTCTCACGGACTTTCCTGCCTGGGCTGGCTTTGAACCACGATCCTCTGATATCAGCCTCCTGAGTAGCTAAGATTTCAGGTGTGAGCCACTGGCGCCCGGCAGGGGTTATATTTAGACTACATTTATTATGGAAGTAAAATTACTGGACCAGAGGATATGAACTTTGAAAAAGCTCTCTGATTCAAAAAAAAAAAAAAAGCAAGTTTCCAGGGTTGGTGATTCATGCCTGTAATCATTAGCTACTCAGGAGGCTGAGATCTGAGAATTGTGGTGCAAGCTAGCCCAGGCAGTCCATGAGACTTATGTCCAATTATTCAGCAAAAAGCCAGAATTGGAGCTGTGGTTTAAGCAGTAGAGTGCCAGCCTTGAGTGCAAAAGCTAAGGGACAGTGAAAAATATGTATGTACATATATATACATATATGCTAATTGCTTTCCAGTGTGTACCAGTTTCTAATAGTATATGAGCGTGCCTATCTCACTGAACCTATCTATCCAATCCTATCTTAGATAAAGTTTCATAAACAAAATTGTTAATGAAATAGGTAATGCCCTACAGCTGAAAAAAACAAAAAGGTAATCTGGGAGAACTGTTCAAGCCTATAATTCTAGCTACTTTTTTACTCAGGGCCTGGGCGCTGTCCCTGAGCCTCTTTGTGCTCAAGGCTAGCACTCTACCACTTGGGCCACAGCACCACTTTGGGTTTCTCGAACCATGATCCTCAGATCCCAGACCCTTGAGTAGCTAGGTTTACAGGTGTGAACCACCTGCACCCAGCTAATCCTAGCTACTTGAGAGTCAGAGATTAGCAGATCACAGTCCAGGCCTAAAAGTCCAGAAAACTCCATCCAGTTCTGTCCCCAACCCCCAAAACACCCTAGGTTGCAAAACAGTATTTTCTATTACATAGAAAAATATTTTCATGGGTATAGGGTAGAAAACTTGCTTGGCACTGGCACATTTGTGGTCTTGGGTTCCATCCTTAGTACTACAAAATAGAAAAAAAGAATACAAAAAAGAGAAAAATGCTTTCATATAATCATTGCAACACTTTAAGGTGTCTGCTTGGTGAATATGAATGATTTTAATTTTTTCTTTGTGCTCTTTTGTGTTTTCCAAAATTTTTACAGTAAGTACATTTCCTAAGCCTAAATGTGACTGAAGTAAAATTATACAACTTCATAATTGAGCTACAGGCCAATTGCTCTACTTCCTCTAGAACTTACAAGCCATCTGAAAGCTCTCTATGCTTGATAATTTGGCACAATGTTTCTCTTTTACAGCAATACTTTGAATTTTTTATATTTATTTGAAGAAGCAGGGTATTTCTCAATGATTAGTAATGGGTCCTGGCCCTCTTGTTTTCTGGGAAATACCTGTATTGAGAGTATTTTTTTTTTTTTGTGATGGGTCTCAGGCTTAACCTCAGGCCTGTCTCTGAGCTTTTTTGCTCAAGGCTAGCACTCTGCCACTTAAGCCACAGCTCCACTTCAGGCTTTATTTTTGTCTTTTCTTTGTTGGTAGTGGGAGTCTATCCCAAAACATTGCACTTGCTAGACAAGTGATTTTGCACTGAGCTATGTCATAGCCATCAGGAGTTTTTTGTTTGTTTGTTTGTTGTCAGTCCTGGAGCTTGAACGCTGGGTCTGGGCGCTGTCCCTCAGGTCTTCAGCTGAAGGCTAGCACTCTACCACTTGAGCCACAGCACCACTTCTGTTTTTCTGATGGTTTTATGGGAGATAAGAGTCTCACAGACTTTCCTGCCCGGGCTGTCTTTGAACCGCAATCCTCAGATCTCGGCCTCCTTAGTAGTTAGGATTACAGGCGTGAGCCACCGGTATCTGGCCAAGGATTTTTTGACAGTTAATTGGAGAGAAGATTCTCACTGACTTTTTTGTCTCAACTGGCTTTAAACATTGATCCTCTCTCAGCCTCTTGAGAAGCTAAGATTATAGGCTAGCGCCACTGGCATTTGTTCTATTTATTTGTTTTTGATGTATGTGTATTTGTTAATGATAGCTTGCATGAGTTAGACTGCTTTGCTTAAAGTAAGAAATTTTAACTAGTCTGTTGGTATACCAAGGCAATTTATGTTAGCCTGTTGGTACACTAAAATTAGATGGGTAAGTGTTGAGGGTTTTGGTTTGGTTAGTTTTTGTTTTGGTTTGTGTTGTCTTTGAGATAGCATCTCACTGTTTAGCCCACACCAAGCTGCTCTGTGTTTATAAAATTACATAGAAAATTTAGTCTCTTGACTACTGGGATTATAGGCATGCGCTAGAGTTTAGAAGAGGTAGCAACCAGGAAACACATGAACAATTTTTTTTTTTGCTAGTCATGGGGCTTGAACTCTGGGCCTGGGTGCTGTCCCTTAGCTCTTCAGCTCAAGGCTAGCACTCTACCACTTGAGCCACAGCACCACTTCTGGCTTTTTTCTGCTTATGTGATGCTGAGGAATCGAACCCAGGGCCTCATGCATGCAAGGCAAGCACTCTAACACTGAGCCATCTTCCCAGCCCCCAAATGAACAATTTTTAAGTTTTACTTTACTATGCATTCATTCTGGTATGACATGTATAGCTTAAGAGATAGGTACAATGTGCTGTTTGAAGCAAAACCATTAACAATCATTGTTACGTACTTTTTTTAAAAGAATTTTTTTCTAAATATAGAACATGAGTTCATCAGTAGGAATTGTCTGATAAATTCAGATGGTAAAGTTTATTAAAATCTGCTGAAAAAAATCTGTTCTTTTATCTGTTTTCTTAAATTCATAATGTTAAGAGTTAAGTAACAGATTAAATTGAAATAGATGAGCATATTTTCTCAGTATAATCAACTGGAAATCACAAAATATTCTCAGAGCTCGAGACATTTAAAAACTAGTTAATTCTTTTATCCTCTTTACTTCTTTCACTTTGAATTGATTTTTCTCAGCTTCTCTAATAGTGTATGAAGGTTTTCCCTAAAGATTCTCATTGATTTTTTTTTCTTGTGCTGATCCTGGGGCTTTAATTCAGGGTCTGGGCACTGTCCCTTAGTATTTTTGCTCAAGACTAGTATTCTGCCACTTGGCCACAGTTTTAATTCTGTTGGGTCATTGAAGATAAGCGTCTCATGGTCTTTCTTTCCCAGGCTGGCTTCAATTTGCCATCTTCAGATCTCAAGACTCCTGAGTAGCTACGACTATAGTTATGAGCCACCAACACCTGGAAATTGTAAGAAAACAAATCACTTAGCCGGACATTGGTGGCTCATGCCTATAGTTCTAGCTACTTCAGGAGGTTAAGATCTAGCTTTTTTTGTTTATATGGTACTGGGGAATTGAACCCAGGGTTTTATGCATGCTAAGCAAGCACTCTACCACTACCACTAGGCCGTATTCCCAGACCCAAGCCCTGGCAGTCTTTGAGACTCTTATCTCTCCAATTAACCACCAAAAAAAGCCAGAAGTAGAGTTGTGGTTCAAGTGTTAAAGTGCTAGCCTTGAGCAAAAGAGCTCAGGGGCAGCATCCAGGCCCTGAGTTCAAGCCTCAGGACCTATACGTTTGCGCGCGCGCTGCGCGCGCGCGCGCACGCGCACACACACACACACACACACACACACACACACACTTTTTTTGAGGGGGGGGTCTGGTCATGGGGCCTGAACTCTGGGCCTGGGCGCTGTCCCTCAGCTCTTCAGCTCAAGGCTAGCGCTCTACCACTTGAGCCACAGCACCACTTTGGGATTTTTTCTTTTTTCTTATGTGGTACTGAAGAATCGAACCCAGGGCCTCATGCATGCAAGGCAAGCGCTCTACCACTGAGCCACCTTCCCAGCCCCGCCCCCCACTTATGTGAGGTATATTCCCCAGTTACACATATCCATGTAGATCTGGATTGCAAAAAAAGTGAAGGTTTTGTCTCTTTTATAATGTTAGCTCACATGTCTGATTTGCTGTATTTCAAACTTTCTCTTAGCCATAATTACAGACAAAAGAAAAATAGAAATATTATTTATAATGTTCCATTTATTTTGTCACTGTATAACCTGGTCATAAAAATTTTTACCCAAATATTTATTGAAATAATTCCTGGGAGAGAAAGCAAGACAAATAACTGGTAATTACAAAGTTTTTCAATAATCAGTTTGTTGTTTTTTTTTTCCAGATAAATTGATAGATATGCCTCTAAACTTGTTAATCACAGCCTTAGGAAACCCACATACTAATATCATTTTGTCATTTTTCTGTAGATGTGTTCTTTGTGCCACTGTCCTGGAGCAACAATTGGTTGTGATGTGAAAACTTGTCATAGGACGTACCACTACCACTGCGCATTGCATGACAAAGCTCAGATCCGAGAGAAACCTTCACAAGGAATTTACATGTAATTATTGAACATGTCTTTACAACATTTGAGCAATCATTACTTTTACAAGTTTCAAAGCATTCCATGGTTGCATCATAAAGGGGGTTTTGGATAAGGAATTTAATGCTTACAGAAAGGATATAGGGAGGTCCATGATAAGCTTTTTTTTTTTTTTAAGTACTCCCTTGTAAATGGGATAAAGTGTAATACTCATTTGTTACTTTGAAAATTGAATTTATTTATATATTGATAATTTTTGTCTTCATTTTTTAAGGGTTTATTGTCGAAAACACAAGAAGACTGCACATAACTCTGAAGGTACGTCATTCAGCCACTCGCCACTTTCAAAAAGGAGTTTAAATAAAATGAGTAATAATTCTATGTGAATTTTTACCTTAAGATCTCAATATCAAATATATTTAGAAGAATTAGGAAAAGTCTTGGTATAAACTAAGGTCTGTAGTAAAGATCTAAATTTTGAAAGAAGAATAATCCCCAAGATCTTAATAAAGTATATAGTTGAAAATTTATTTCACTTTCGAAAGAAATGATGCTGGGGACCACATCTTTCTGTGAGAGTGATAATTTGAATCCTTGATTCCAAAAATATTACAGACAGTATGAACTTAGGAATACTAGTAGATTTTGTGACCATCCAACTTTCTTTGAAAATTTTAGTCACATTTTAGTACCCTTATCTATTGGTTTTGTGGGGGGGGTTTTGTCCCAATTCTGGGATTTGAACTTAAGATCACTCAGTTTCACTTAGTATTTTCATACTTCCACCTCAGGCTTTTTTCTGGTTAATTAGGTAAGAGTCTCATGGAATTTTCTGCCTACACTGGCTTTGAAATGAGATACTTAGATCTCAGACTCTTGAGTAGCTAGGATTACAGGCATGAGCCACTGATGCCCAGCTCAATAATTCGAACTTTTGAGGTGATAAAGTACACTGAAAAATCTTCATAGTTTTCTTTTCCTTTGTTTGGCAGGGCGGGGGGGGGGGTAGTCCTGGGGCTTGGACTCAGGGCCTGGGTGCTGTCCCTGAGCTTCTTTTTCTCAATTGGAGTTTAGTTAATTGGAGACAAGCGTCTCATGTACTTTTCTGTCCTGGCTGGCTTTGAACTCGGATCCTTAGATCTCAGCCTCTGAGTAGCTAGGATATAAGCGTGAGCCACCGGCATCTGGCTACAAAACATTCTTTTTAAAAAATTTTTTTTATTGTGAAAAAACTGTACAGAGGGGTTACAATTACACGGGCAAGATAATGAGTACATTTCTTATCAAGCATTGTAGCCTCCTCCTTTGTTTCCCCTTCCCATCCCTTCCAAGCCTCCCCCCACCCACCCAATCATTCTTAAGATAATATAGTGGCCACATATGTTAGTAACTGAGGATCAAGACTTGTGAACTGGGGCTGGGAATGTGGGTTAGTGGTAGAGTGCTTGCCTAGCATGCATGAAGCCCTGGGTTCAAATGTACCACATGAACAGAAAAAGCCAGAAGTGGCACTGTGGCTCTAGTGGTAAAGTACTAGCCTTAAGCAAAAGAAGCTCAGGGAGAGTTGCCCAGGCCCTGATTTTAAATCCCAGGACTGGCAAAGAAAGAAAGACTCGAGGTGTATTATTAACATACTGGAATAAGATATTTGAAATGTTTAAGGTGATTAGTACATATTGATATAGCTGGCTCCCATTTTATCTTTTATATTTCTGATGATGATAGTACCATCTAGTGGCAGACAAAAGTCATTGCAGACTATATAAAGTATACAGTCATTTTGATAACATTTTTGCTTTGTGAAACTTAATAGGCCTGTTTACATGCTTTTCGAGACAAATTTGAATGTAATTGGTGGTATTGCTACAACTTTAACTTTGAGATTCAAATTAATTTGAGTTTAGAGTTCAGCACATTCTTGTATTTCTGCTTTATTTTTCAAAGTAATAGGTTTCATTCTGAAATTGTCATACATGTGTACAATGACTTGCATATATTGTATCATGGTTCTCTTCTCCCTACATTGTCACCAAATGTTTCTCCTTCAGTTTATATTTGTGTAGAGTGTTGGAGCCTCTTGTTTCGTTGGTATAGAATGTTTTTTTATGTCATATTATAAAATTTGAAGTATTAAGTTTACATGTTAAAAGAAAATCAGGAGCTGGGTGCCAGTGGCTCACGCCTGTAATCCTAGCTACTCAGGAGGCTGAGATCTGAGGATCGCGGTTCAAAGCCAGCCCAGGCAGGAGAGTCCATGAGACTCTTATCTCCAGTAAACCACTACAAAACCGGAAGTGGTGCTGTGGCTCAAGCGGTAGAGCACTCACCTTGAGCTGAAGGGTGCAAGGACAGCGCCCAAGCCCAGAGTTCAAGCCCCCAACCGACCAAAAAAAAGAAAGAAAGAAAGAAAATCAGGGCCAGGCACAGGTGGCTCAGGATTATCTCCAATTAACCAGTCAAAAAACCAGAAGTGGTGCTGTGGCTCAAAGTGGTAGACCAAAAAGAGTTCAGGGACATTGCCCAGCCCTGAGTTCAAGCCCTATGACTGACAAAGCAAAAAAGAGTATATGGATTTTTGTTGGTGGTGGTGGTATTCATGGAGCTTGAACTCTGGGCCTGGGCGCTATCCCGCAGCTTTTCAGCTCACCGCTAGCGCTCTACCACTTGAGCCACGGTGCCACTTCCAGTTTTCTGAGTGGTTTATTGGAGATAAGAATCTCTTGGAGTTTCCTGCACAGGCTGGCTTTGAACTCCGATCCTCAGATCTCAGCCTCCTGAGTACCTAGGATTACAGGTGTGAGCCACCGATGCCTGGCTATCAGAATTTATATTTATTGGATTTTGCCTTTTATCATATTGACCTTGCTTAAACTTATATTGAGTACTTTGTCAGAAACTACTTGCAATTGTTCTGATGGAAAACGTGTTCCCTTTATGATCATGATTTGTGATGGTGGTTATAGAATTGAATTCCAGGGACTGTCTTTGAGCATTGTGCTTCATTAGTTTCTAGAGCAAAGAAAATAATGCCTGAAGTAATTTCACAATCGCTTACCATCTGTGTCCTAACACTTATTTACTTAATATATACGATAAGTGCTCTATAATTCAGTCCAGTCTGTCATGTTAGCCTTATATAATGTGAACTATTTTGAAGTATTAAAAGAATCATTGTATTATGCTGGTACTGGTTGTTCACACCTATAATCCTAGCTACTCAGAAGGCTGAGATCTGAGTATCACAGTTTGAAGCCACTCAGGCTGGAAAGACCTTGACATGGTTATCTCCAATTAATCACCAAAAAAGCTGAAAGTAGAGATAGAGCTCTAGTGTTAGAGCCATAGCCTTGAGTTGATAGAGCTCAGGGACAGCGTACAGGCCCTGAGTTCAAGCCCTGAGACTGGCAAGAAAGAAAGTTCCCTTTGTTCCACCTACTCACCCCTTCTGGCCCCAATCTGCAGAAACCACTGACATGTTTTGCTGTCTTCATGCAGTTGTCTTTTCCAGAATAGTTGGAATTATACGGTGTGTAGCTTTTCCATATTGAATAATTGTTTGGGTTTTGTGTGCGTGTGTGTGCGTGTGCGTGTGCTTGGGCATGTGTGCACACGTAAACACATCTGACAGTGCTGGGGCCTGAACTTGGGGCTTTGAGCTCTCACTGGGCTTTTTCACTCATGGATAGTACTCTACCAGTCCTTTTTTGCAAGTTAATTTGAGATAAGAGTCTTGCAGAATTTTCTTCCAGGCTAGATACAAACCAACATCCTCAGATCTCAGCCTCTTCAGTAGCTAGGTTTGTAGATATGAGCCACCAGTGCCTAGCTCTTAAGTGCTTTTATTAAATGGAAATTTAGAAAAATTTAGTGTGATGTTAAATTCTTTTTTTTTTTTTTTTTTTTTGCCGGTCGTGGGGCCTGAACTCTGAGCCTGGGCGCTGTCCCTCAGCTCTTCAGCTCAAGGCTAGTGCTCTTCCACTTGAGCCACGGTGCCACTTCCAGCTTTTTCTGCTTATGTGGTGCTGAGGAATTGAACCCAGGGCCTCATGCATTCAAGGCAAGCACTCTACCACTGAGCCACTTTCCCAGCCCCAAGTGATGTTAAATTCTTAAATTTAGCCAGTAACCCTGATCTGAATACTATATAGTATATGCATATACAGTAATTTCACAATGTATACCATAAATGTGTTCAATTCCTATGTGTTAATTGAAAGTAAAAAAAAAAAGAACGGACAGTTGGGAATATGTCTTAGTGGTAGAGTGCTTGCCTAGCATGCATCAAGCCCTGGGTTTGATTCCTTAGTACCAGATAAACAGAAAAAGCCAGAAGTGGCGCTGTGGCCCATGTGGTAGAGTGCTAGCCTTGAGCAAAAGAAGTTCAGTAACAGTGCCCAGGCCCTGAGTTCAAGCTTCAGGACTGGCAACAAAAACAAGTAAAAAGTGTTGCTAAGTTCTGTGGTACATAGCTGTAATTCCAGCATGGACGAGGTGAAGGCAGGAGGATCATGAATTCAAGCCAGTCTGGGCTACATAGCAAGACCCTACCTCCAAACAACAACAACAAACAAACAGAAATAGATGTATGAGTGTACATGTGTTTATTTATAAACCTTTAAGCTTAGTAGTGTTAAATGGGCTTATTGGCTGTACAGGTTAAGAGTATGGACTATGAAATCAGATCTTAATTTGAATCTCAGCTCTATTTCATCTGATTTATGTCATCTAAGGCTCCCAGATAATAACTTTAGATATTACATCTGTGCAGTGGTGATTAAAGAAAATATGGCTGGAGTGAGACACCAGTGGTTTATGCCTGTAATCCTAGTTAGTAGGGAGGCTGAGATCTGAGGATTGTGGTTCAAAACTAGCCTGGGCAGGAAAGTCTGTGAGACTCTCATCTCCAATAAACTACTCAGAAAAAGCCAGACGTGGTACTGTGGCTTAAGTGGTAGAGTTCTAGCCTTGAACAAAAGAATCTCATGGACAATGCCTGGCCCCTGAATTCAAGCCTCAGAACCTGCACACATCCCCATAACCAGGGTGGGGACTTTAGATTATTGCAAAGATTAAATAATACTTGAGCAGCTCTTAGTAATATTCCTGGCATTATAGTACGTGTTCAATCAACATGATATTGCATGCCATTGTTATTCTTTTAAAATTCTACCTTCCTTCTTTTTTGGCCAGTTCGAGGGCCTGAACTCAGGGCCTGGGCACTGTCCCTGAGCTTCTTTTTGCTCAAGGATACCACTCTACCACTTGAGCCACAGCACCACTTCCAGCCTTTTCTGTTTATATAGTACTGAGGAATTGAA